ACTCCGGGGTGAGAAAACCGATCAGAGAATGGCAACTTTCGCTGTTGAGGTTCGCCATAAATTGTTGAAAACTTTGACCAGCATATGTGCATTATTTATTGGGGTAAGATGTTGAAAATTTGTACTATTTAAACGGCCCAGAAATAGTAAACAGAAACCACCCGTACCCGTTTGTCGTTTACGTGTAGACCCCGGTTTACCGCGGGAAAACGGGTAGAAATTACGGGTAAAATTGCTGACATCAGCAAAAATTGGTAAACAAAATGGCGATACTCGTACCCGTAAACCGGAACCGGGGTATCTTAACCTCTCTATTATTTTGTCGTACCACCACGGGTAGACTGTTATTGTTTTGTCGTACCACCACGGGTAGACTGTTATTATTTTGTCGTACCACCATGGGTAGACTGTTATTGTTTTGTCCTACCACCACGGGTGGACTGTTATTCATCTCTCCTACCACCATCGGTAATTCAACGTTATTCTGTGCATCAAAGGGATCCACAGGTGTTGTAGTTGTTTTCGCATGCACTTTTTCGCACATGTTTTCGCCTGTGTGGATCACAGAATTATCGCATATCTCGTAAGACATGTTCGTACAACTTGAAACACTGACAACTTTAGGCAAGTTATCGACAGATAAGAATTCGACACCAGGTTCTAAGACAACAAAGCCGTTATCCAGAGCTTGCAAGTACATTTTGTCTCCTTGTAATAAGACATTATTCAATGTTGTTTTTGACCAATCGATCAGTGGGATATTTTGGGCAGTTAAAACCGCAGATAAACTCATAAAAGCACATTGTTTGCCTCTAGATTGAACACTAAAAAGGTCATCGCCTTGATGTATTTCAGAAGAAAGAAATAGAGCCATACTTACCTGAAATTTTCCGAAAATTTTCGATCCCTTGCATCCGTATTGAAAGCTTGAAAAAATCTTGAGCAGTGAGCACATGGAGATGCGTGCGCAATCGAAAAATCTTGTTTTGACCGCTCCCCTCATTCAACAAACGTTTCCTGAAAGCTTAATTATTCCCCCCGGATTACGACAAACATCCGACAGACAGACAGACAGACACAAGATCGAGATCTCGACAATACATAGATCGCGCGAAAGACTGGGTCGAGTGGACTCTGGAGAAATCACCACGTGTCAAGAATAGTGTGCTGCCTCGCTGCGCTCGGCAGCAATGAAACTACTAAATTAATTTAAGCCCTGTTTACGCCTAGGCCGACGTAGTCTCTACAAGATTCGCACGCCACCGAGTTTTACTGTTTCAGAATATCCCTAATACTTGAAAATTGCGACCATACGATAAAATAAAACAAAGATTGTGAAGGGGATAAAATTTGTAGGCAAGCGTTGTTCCTGAACGGCAAGTGTTGGTGTCCGGCGAAACAAGCGACTCCGTATATTCCTGTACAGCGTAAACAGGTTACACGAGGTAGTTTATATTTGTGTTTATTTATATTGAACTAAGTCAGATGTATAAGAGTATATCTAAACTAAATATCAATTATAGCAATAACCATATTGTTCAAGACGAGAGAAAGAAAATTTCGTGTGAATCACCACTTACATGGAGACGCCTAGATGCAGCTTGGATGCAGTTTAAAATTTAAAATGTAGTTGAAAATCTCCAGAAATATCGATATATCTTTGAAATAATATCGATTGAGAAGTCTTTTGGCTATTTATTTGTTTCAAAGACTTGTATATTTCATTAAAGAATATATCGCCACTCCTTGATGAGTATCTTGTCAAATACTGCCATTTTTTGTCGTCACGTGACCGGCCCAGACCAGAGCTTCCTCGAGTCTCGCCTCGTCCTCACACTGAAGCCCTGGGAACGAGGTTGGGCATTATATAAAGTTAAGTTCATGAAACAAGCCTAGAAATTTTTTTCGAAATTCTTTACAATGAAAGTAGTATAATTGTTGTAATTTCCATACCATGGATATAAGTAGTAACATAGCTAGGAGCCGTTCGCTTTTGTGAACGGAGTGAGGCATAATTATATGGAAAGCGAGTCTGGGCAAGAAGATCATTAAGCTGAGGTCAGCATTTTTGTTACAAAAGTAATAACTTTTTAATTAGCGTCCCATGTTGGCGTCGCTACAAATTTTCCAAACATTTGATCTAGGCACAGTCTTTTATCGACAGTCAACGGATAACGTAGATATAATTTTTGACGAGTTGAAACAAAATGAAATTGATGTTTATAAGCAAACTTTATTGTTTCATATAAATACAATCAACCAACATCGAGATCTATACCGTGAAATAAATACTCGTGGCCATGGTCAAAACCTTGAACAAGTCTACAGATATATCAATGTTACAAACTTTGGTTGTATTATTGCATATTTAGCTTTCATATGTTTACAAAGTAATAGGAGGAATCTATTCGTTATAAAAATCGAGACATATTTTAAACAGAACTAAGCAGTTGCTAATCCCAAGTTAACATGGTTGTCAACGCCGTTCTTATGGTCGATATTTTCATATTACAGAGTCATTTCAAAAGTGATTAACCCGCCCGTCCCATCTGGATACAATTTTATTTTTAACCCAGTGAGCTCGAAACAGAAAAATACTAACGAACAGAGAGTTATTACAGATTAGGTGCAAGATATATCGAAATTTTATCTTGTTGACATCGAAAACAAATACCATCAAAGTCATTAACACTCGTTAATAGATTGCAAAATAGATAGGGATTATTTATTACACGGGCGTGGGTCTTAATATCGGACGCGTAGCTTTGCAAGCATAGGATTGCATAAGCATTTAGATTTAAAACACATTTATTTCTTCAAAACGTTTACAAAGTCATGCTTCTAATATATATATATTGTAACTTGTTTGAGATGTTCCACCATCTAAGATACTGGAATGATATCCTGAGATATTGCATGAATATCATCATGATATCATAAAATATTGTATGATATCCTAATATATTGTATGATATCCGAAGATACTGCATGTCATCTTAAGATATTGTATGATATCCTAAGATACTGCATGATATCCCAAGATATTGTACGATATCGAAAGATACTCACGTCGGGCACGCGTGCCCGCGAAAGTTGCAAGCACGCGCGTGTTCGAATTTTTGCGCCGCGCAAGCAAGGGAATTGGACCATAGATATCTTATATACACTAGATAGTGCATCTAATTATTCTGCAATTCAAAAATTGAAGCCGTGATTGCAGGCTCAGGTCGTTCCCATGAAATGAGAAGATTCGTACGTTTTCTATTTCTTAAACAGGGAACATAAACATTAAGTTAACCCTAATCCAAATACGTTTTTAAACTATTCAAATGATGAAAGTTATTGTTGTTTTTAAGCGTTTATTAGCAAGTGGGAACGACCAACATGGCCGCCATTCATTCAAATGGGGGTAACCGCTGGAACATTCTTGGCTTCAATTTTACTAAAAGAGATGCGCTATCTAGTGTATATAAGATATCTATGAATTGGACCTAGTCATGTTGTGTTTTAAGCTGATCTTTGGGTGCCTAGCAACAGGGCAATTTTCGTTCATGTAAAATTTGGCAGCCATTGTTGGATTCTAGAAGTCTCAAAGATTAATCTGATACCAAATACTTTAATGTTATCGGTATTTTTGTGCTGAAAATTTAAAGCTATTATCGACAGTGTTGCCACTCCGAGTCCGAGTTGTTAAAATTGAGAGGATTTGGCTTCATATAACTTGATTCATATTTGTGTAATAGCTACTAAATATTTTCTATATCAACCAAACACTATCAGGTAAGAATCCTATGTTTTTATTATTTTTATTACGTGCGTTATTTCGTCTTATGACGGCTTTATTTGAAACATAGTTTTCATTACTACGCCATTTTTAGTTTCTAGCCTATGACTTACTATGGCAAGAAGAAAGGCTAAATTGTACAGTCGATTTGATGTTGCCACTTATATGCAAGAGAAGAAACGCTTAAGAAAAGAGACTGCATTACCACACAAGACACTTGCGAAGAAAAAATCGAAATTAGACAGGCTTATATACAGGGTAAGTGCATGTAAAATGCTTTTTTTCCCGTTCATATTGGGAGGTGTATCTAGGCAAATTTATTATAAACTGCTATTCATAGAAAGTTTTCACGTTTATATTAAGGGCTCATTTGTACAAAAATTTACATTGTTACCAAGATTCAAGTAGTAGGAAGTTATCCTTTATATTAAGATTGAATAACCCACCAGGAATTAAGCCATTAAGCTGCATGACTCCCCTTGGCATGTTGTCTTGTATTAGACAGAGTAGAAGGGTCATGACAGGTGCATTTATAGAGACATCAGAACTCAATGGGTTTACAAGGAGAAATTTACAGATTAGTAAATTAACCCATTAAGTTGCAAGACTCTCCTCATGACGAGTAAAATCATCCGTCACCATTACATCATGTACATCATATATTATAATATTACTTTACATTTCCTGCAGATTAAGGAGGTCTCAGAAGAAACACAAATAGTCAGCGGAGACCCCCAACCTGAATTGCTCACTCCGCCTGCCAAAAAGAAGAAAACGACATTCCTTTCTGAAAAAAATGCAAAAGCAAGATGTGGTAATCCAACTGTTCTAAGTTCTAATGACAAACCAGGGTTATCTGCACAGGCAATGGCAAGACGAAGAACAGAAACATTTGATGCTGCTTCAGAAATCCATGGGGCAACCCCCGAAAATCCCTTACCTACTTCAGTTGGTCTTTTGGATACAGTGGAAAAGAAGTGCTCACAGGAAGTTCTTGTCAAGTTTATGTCGACTAGTAAGAAATTTAAAAATGTATTTTCTGTGATATTTAAGACTGCTCCAGATAACTTTGAACAATCAGAGGCAAATAAATTCCGAAGTATTGCAGTTTATTATAGTAAAGGAGTGATGGGCAAGAGAAAATATAGATCAACCTATAGAAGTTTGTCCATGATGAGAAACCCAAATGGAAAAAGTAAAACCACTCGTATTAAAGTTCTGTCAAACCCACTGCCTAGACTACTTCCTTACAACAAGCTTGCTTCTGTGCTCAATGAAATTGAAATAGGAAAGCTGTATAGTGTTCGCGATACTTTGTGTGATGATTTAGAGTGTGGAGAAAAGGTGGATGGTTGTTATAGGAAATTGATTGAGTTTCTTCCAAGGTTGGCACTATTTTATCTTTCTGCCTTACCTGCATCTGATATAGATTGGTTTAATGAGCCTTATACCTTTCAGGTTGCTATTGGTGGGGATGAGGCCCCATTTGGGAAATTTGACCAGTCTTGTGCTTGGTTAGTTAGCTTTCTCAACATCGGTCATTTTTCTCATCATCTTATTTTTGGTAGCAATTGTAGTGAAACAAGCCCAGCAGTTGCCAAGTATATTTCAATGATAACTAAAGAGATTGAGGAAATTGAAAAGGCTTCATTTAACATTAATAATATGGTGATCAAGTTTAAATTTGCAGAGCTTCCCAATCACATGAAAATGTTGGCATATCTAGCAGGGGAGCTCCCAAATAGTGCAAAGTACTTTTCAACTTTTGGCAATGTTTGCAATGATGATGTTCATGATGTAAGTAAAACCTTTGGCCCAGCCTCCACAAATGCATGGAAACCGTGAGATTATAAGCAATGATTATCCATAGCTAACAAAGTTCGCGTTTTCAAAACAAAGTTGACCAAAAAGCCAGTAACAGAGCAGACTGCGCGTAGCAAACTCACAGCGTTTATTGCAGGATGTAAGAGTAGGCACGAGTTAGTTGACCCACCAATTGGCAGGCTCATTGATAGGGCCCATGCTGACCCTTTGTATGTAAAGAATAATGCTTGTCAATTGATTCACAAGCAGATGCTTTGTGAAGCAATTGGTAAATCTGCTCTTGGTGATAATATATCCAACTTTAAAGCGGTACCAAGTAGTTCTGTATTTTATAAGTTTATATATGTGTTGAAACATAAGTGCCAGCTTTCTCGTTTAGCAAACAAAATTATTCATTGGTTCAATGAGACAAAGGCAAAAAGCAAAGAGTTCAATTATAGGTTCACTGGGAGGGATTCCAGGATGTTTCTCCATAATTTTATGCACCTAGTGTCTGAGTGTCTGGAATCACCTGCAGATACACTGAGACAAAAGTTTCGGATACATGTTTTTGCCTATATTGCCCTGCAACTTATAGGAATTCGGTTTCTTTGTTTAGTAGAATGACCATCTCTGTTAGTGAGATTCAAGATTTGACTAATTTTTGTATGAATTACTACAGAGCAAATGCTTTATTTATTGGCAAAGTAACCCCAACTGTATGGACTGTAGGCCATGTAATACCTGTCCATACTCAAGACGTAAAATCCAAGTACGGAAAGGGACTTGCGGTAAACTCCATGGAGGGGCGTGAGGCAAAACATATCGCAATCTCCCGATATGCAAAAAATAGCACTTATGGCAATCGGTGGCAGCTCATTTTCCGCCATGAATACATTTCTATAATATGGCTAAGGGAAAGAGGGTATAACCTAAGTAATTATGCTGTTTCCAAGGAAAAGTATGTTCCTAAAACGATTGGTCTTGATGGTTTTTGTGAGTGTGGCTGTTGGAAGGAGGTTGGGGTTAGTTCTTGTGGCTATTGTTCTCACCCTTACAGAAAGTCAATTGAGTTATCGTGTAAGCTAGGAAAGTTAACTGCCGACAAATGTTTGTTATAACTTTTGTATGTGAGTGTCATTCACTTCCTATCTGAGTGGTAAAATGTTACATATTTAAACATGTAAATTATTTGTTATGAAGTATTTATTGAAAGTTGTTAAGTTATTAATAATATATTTGTATATTATTTTTATTTAATTATGTATATATATTTATATATATATGTATATTTTTGTATATTTTATAAATGATGTAAGTGACACTTTTATTCACTCTTTTAAACATGTATTTATTAACAGGAATAAACAAAAAATGTTATTAAAATTGTAATCTTTGTATGCAGGGGGGGGGGGGTGGTGGATAAAGGCGATGTCATATCTATGTAATTGACGAACTGACCATGGGGTGAATATAGTACATTTACATTGTACATTGCACTTGTGCATTTCACATCATCTTTTATTTGTGCTGATAAAAGATATCAAAAAGATGAAATTGGTAAGAAGGCAGCTTATCTATTACTTTTCTCTATCATTATAAGTGATACTGTAGCATAGCATTCAGGTCGATTAGTGATTAATTAATTGTATCCGGAAGTCAAGGAAGATTTGATAAAAGTTTACTCGAGAGACTTTTCCTAACGTACCTTCCAAGGCTTTAGGGACATATATTTCATTACTACAATTGACTATAATGCGATGCTCAGTATCACTTTGTGATTTTATTGCTACAGAGGGAGCGGTAAATAATCTGATGACCTGAAAGATATATAAATCATACAAATTCTCAATGTTTTGAGCCCTTCTCTATTCGATCTGGAAATAGGCGAGGACCGGATAAACAGACAAACTTACAGTGCGTTTGATCAAGATATAAAATTAGATGTTTGGTTAAACAGATAAACTTAGTGGTTAATCAAGATTTTGTGGTGTTTCACTTATACTACCCCATTAAGCGCCAGTGCTCTCCCCTTGACGAGTAAAATCATCTGGCGTTAGACAGTGTAAAATACTAAGGTAGGGTGCATCAGCGTGCAATGGAACTCAATGGGTTAACTAGACACATGGGCAGATAGGCCAGTTAACACATTAAACGCCTGCGCTCTCCCCTTAACGAGTAAAATCGTCTGGCGTTAGATAGAGTAAAATACTAAGGTAGGGCGCACCAGGGTGCAGTACGACTCAATGGGCTAAAAATAAACAAAGCAAAGTTTTTTGAATATACATGAGGTTGTTGCATAAACAATGTTATTATTATACATATAATAATTACATCGATTGTGTAATGTGTGGCCTTATAAATAAACATTAATAATATTCTACTGTTTCTATTTCTCTGGACGTTATATCTTATAATGGCCTGTTTATATGACCCTGCTTGCCAGAATTAACAGCTTGTTCTGTGGGATCCTGGCGGCATGTGCAATTCAGTTCAGTATCATTTCCACCCGGTAGCAGGATCACTGCTACAAAAATTGTGCTGAATGTGGACATATCATATAATCAGGCCATTTCGACTGGGCAGGATGTCATACAGTACGTAGATTTTGTAAACAGTAACAGGTTAAAATAAAACTATATACAATACTTGTTCAAGACATGACATTTTAGACTGTTTAGTCATGCTGAGGGAAACCATAAATATTCCACGAATCCATAATAGCAGTTTATATTTGTCTTTTGGCAAATTTATACACCAACGCAAAATCCTTAACATTAGAAACAATGACTTTTGCTATGCCTTTCCTTCTGGTCACTTTCCTTAGCATATATATTTGTGTAGTAATACCAAGTGTGTGTGTGTGTGTGTGTGTGTGTGTGTGTTGTGTGACTGTGTGTTGTTATGTGTGTGTCTCTATTATTATGGTGTATAAAAATTTAGATCAATTATGTAAAATTTCGCTGAAAAGCCTTTTAAGGGATGTGAAATTAAAATACAATAACAATAACAATATGATTTAACATTTCTATTGCTAAATTCAGTTAATTCTGTAAGTAAACTTACAACACGGGCCAGTGATGTCACACTAATTACGAAGGCTTTCCGATTGCCATCCATGTTAATGTCGGTCAGCAAGTTTGGATTGTTTGTAGACCTGAGTGCATCTTTGAGTGCTAAGAAAATTTCCTTGGGGATATCTCTTGTAAATTCAAAATACCATGGTTTTCGTATCCGTGGCCTCGCGATTAATCGCCTTTGAATATAACCCAGCCAAGTACGAGCTTCATCTTTTAAAATGGCTCCAGTGTTTAGCAATGAACGGCTCATTGTTAAAGTTTCGCTTCCTTTGACATGCATCCTGTAGAGTTCATTCAAGTATTTCCTTGCTTCGTGAGCAAAATGCACCTTATTTTGACCTAACTCATCACAAGTGGCGAAGATATTGACAGTTTCTCCGATGAAATCATATTTTGGCTCTTCTTCGTCGCTACTGGAGTAAAGCGGACGATTCGGGGATAATTCTGAATCATTGTTATTCAAATATATTTCTTTTAGAACAGTTTCAAATGGCAAAATATCAGCCATTAATACGTGTCTCATCGGGAAATCAGAAATTTTAATTTACACTAAGTATTCAGTAAATTACCGCTGACGAACTTCGATCATCTCGCAACTTTTGCGAGCACGCGTGCCCGACGTGACCTTTCAAATTAAATACAACATTTTGTTCCTTTTTTGTTCTCTGGGGACGATTTTTTCGACATTTTTTCGATTTTGAAACCAAATTTACCGAATCAGTGTTTTTGAAAAGCATTATTTACTAATCTTCTAGTAAATAACGCATCAGATTTACTAGCCAATCAGAACGCGCGAAAGCTCATTTGATATGCAAAATTTATGCTAATTAGGTTCGTCTCCTCTAAATTTTGTAGCTACGACGATTTTCAAGTGCCTGACACAATGAACGTTCATGGTATATACGAGACAAGTTCAACTATGCAGACTTTTTCCTCTCGACGAGAATACCAGAGCTATCTTCAAACAGAGGCCGGTGCTTCAGGATCATTTTTCGGTTTCTATGCTGGAGTCAAATCTGCCTATGGAATGTCATCTAGTTCAAATCAACAAACCAATCTTGCTGTTTTTGATTTTGATATACTCAGGTGAATTTTCAATATTAAAAAAATATCACTTACTTACTCATTTAACAAATAAAGCAAAAACAAAAATATCTTGAAAACAAAGACAGATCTGATAAAGAAATTTTACTTAATATTAATTTGTTTTACCATTTAAGGTATGAAATATTTAAAGACGAAGTCAAACCGCAAGATCTCTCACGCGCATTCCTGCATGAGTTCGTGAGTTTACCAGAATCTTACTTCCAACCAGGTGCTGCAATTAAATTTAGTAAGTGAAAACACATTTTATGTTTGCGCCTAGTTTTAACGAAGACGTTCAAATCATTCTCATACCAGCGACATTGCATCTTCCCTTCTCACTGCAGAACCAATCGGGAAAATTCCAATATTTCCCTTGTTATTCACTTGCTGAAAAAAATGTGGACGTAACTTACTGTTTGTTGCTCGTTGTGATTCGCTGTTACAATATAACCAATCATAAAACCTGTTTATAGTATAAGTTGATGGTAACCCCTCAAATTACTTAAACGCAAGTGTTTTGAACCAAACATTTGTTGATATTTTATATATTTTATGTTAAGTACTTACAGCAATTACAGCTGCGTGTGCATGGACTGCGTCGAGCATAGATCATAAAATAATGCAGTCGTTCAGTACAAACTTTGTGGTACAAACGTAGGAGGAACGCTTTGCCACGAAAGTATCGTTAAAAAAGCCTTGAGTTTGTTCCATTTTGCAGGAATATACATTCTACCAGAATTCCACCGGTTTTATTCTCTCACCATGTCAACTGATTTTAATTAAGGTGGCTCCTTACAGTTCTCTAAAATTCTAGGTATTTTGAGTAACGTTCGCTTTGAACCGAATTTATATTAAATACACTTAAGACAGCGCAATATGATCATTTCCAGGAAATTTCAGAAGCTGTGTCCTGTCCACTTATGAACAAATTAAAACAGTGTTCGTGTTGCCATGGTAACCATGACGTTTAATCTTTTGCACGTTTATTGTCTAATTTCACAATAAATTGACAATATCTATATTTTCCTACGGTGAATTTTTCTGAAATCTTTTTTGAAGATTTATGGTCCATAAAGGAAAAACATCTCAAAATTTGAAGGGAGGTTTACAAATAAGTTTTCGAGATATTCGTGAATGACGGTTACAGAAAAAGTTATTTGTAGAATTTGTTAAAATTTGGACATGTTGTACCACTCGTCTTGTATAACAACAATGGAAAGTTTAAAAAAATTTTACCGAAGAAAACACGAGAAAAGCATCGCTAAAATCTGCGCGGCCAGCATGAAAAAATCGACTCGACGTGAGCACGATCTGCACATGCGTGTAAATTCTAGCGTGTGATTTATAGTGATTTCAACTTTTTGGATTACAATACATACGACAACAGTTATTTCTGACTTGTTTGACATGAAAATAAAATATTAATCTTGAAAATACTAATAATAAAAACACTATTACGCATTGTATTAAATCCAGTGTTTCTTTACATTTGTTCTTGTTGTTGTTGTTAAAATCGGTGTGAAAACATTTCAAAACATCGAACTACACGTTTAACTTTTCATATAAAACAACTCATAATTGTTTTATTTGATTTAGCTGATAAAACGATACCTGTGAATTGAATTGATTGACAGAACTTACATAAGTTTTGGCGACAGTTCACTACTGTTCAAGAGTTAATAGAAGACAGTATCATTTCAGTTTGATATAGTTCGCAACACAACAAGTTGAAAATTTTGAGCATTATGAAAGACAATGCTGAACGTAAGTATGTAAAAACACACTAAAAGATAGGTTGAACTGATTAATAACATACGTACTGTTCGAATTCAGAAAAAAATAGGATTATAATGAAAAACTGGAGCTTTCTTTGTAGATAAAAACGCCAAAAAACTTCCCGCGGCTTGTTTCAACATTTTTGCCGAACAAGTGAACACGACGATTCCACGCGCAGGACGCGAGGATGAAGTCTGATCTATATAAATCGTATTTAAACTGTACTAACTCTAGGAAGCCACCTTAATCGTAAATGTTGTGTAAACCTTTATCGAGATATTTTCGTTCATTCTCTTTGTGTTTGTCAATTTGGCTATACAGCCTTGTGCACGAGATGCTTTGCCAATTTTACAGCACTTTCTACTTTGTCAATGGTTTGGCGTGTTCTGGCGCGGTTGTCAAATGTATGAATCCGCAGCTTTTAGAACATTTTCAAAATTCATTTTCCTGCGATAACCATATTAATTAAGTGGGGCTAGAAATGAAGGACAGAAAGGCGGCTGGCTTTGCCAATATATGCGCAGAGCTAACACATGTTACGAATTCAAGGTGGAGGAAATATAGAGTCTTAATTGTGAAAAAATATAAAATCGATGCGCATACAGGAAGAGTGTAATATTTTAAAGTTTCCCACGCCTACAAATCTATAAAATGCTTTAATAATGTTGTCTTACAAACTGCTATAAGCTGGACCGAGTAACTCCATTTGCCGATATTTTCAGGTAATGTAAACTCCATTAAAACGGTTAAATCCCCATTGTTCAGCCCGGAGTTGTGTCGTTCCAGAAGAAGTCAGACAAAATTCCCACGTTTGTATTTCCTATACGATATCCAAGCTGCTATTTTGTGTTGCTTTAGAAGCCCCTTAGCTTGTATTCGTACAGACAAATGGCTTTAAAATCGTCTGTGTTTTTAACAAACTGTAAGCTTGAATTCTCACAACCGAAGAGCTTGTAGTGAAGAACAGCTGCGAAATTCTCCAAAATTTCGATCATACGACTGTGTTCTTTTACGCCATTTACCAGGTGGGAAATACCAAAAAAATTGTTATTGTATTGCATTATTGGGAAGGCGAGGAAGGCTAAAAAATGCACAACTGCCCCCGATTCCGATGGAAATGTCCAATAATTCCTACTATTCTGTATTTTGAGATGAATTAATTATCTCCCAATATAAAGTATTTGTTTCAAGGAGCAGGTCTGTTTGAGTAGAAAAATCAGGGACGCCGGAACGATGTGAAGGCAAAGGAGGCAGATTTTCTTTTGAAATGATATATACTAAGAGATGTTTGCAAAACATTGGGAGTTGAACTTTGCCTAATCATGTTTTCTATTCATTGGATGTTAGGGGTGTGAGGAGGTTCTCCGCCAGGCAGGCGATTGTGCTATTCTTGTAGCTCGATGACAGCATTTCTTGCGTTTTCTGAAGCAAATTCGTAAAAAATTCGCACTAACATTTCTGACAATTCGCTATTTCGCTAAGGGCACCTTTGCCCCCTTGCCCCTTCTGTTAAAGGGCAACGGATGCGGCTGCCCCTCCTGCCCCCAGTCGCGGCGTCCCTGAGAAAAATGCGTGAAAAATGAATTTTAAACCCACCGTGACTATAGTTTTTTAAGTTCATTTGTCCAGGGAATGAAAACAACTTGCATCTTCGGAAAAAGTTAAATTTCGTCAAAATTTCGTCGCAGAAATAATAATTCTCCAATTTCACTTTAAAGTGCCTATGCGACAATTTTTTTATGATTGAATTGCAAAGTTCATTTAAAATCATAAGATAATTTGTTTTTTAAAACTTTGTAATCTTTCCTGAATGTCAAGATTTTCGACTTTGTTTATTTTACAAATTTGCCATTATTAAAGATATAAATTAACTATAAATTACACACAATGGCTGGAATGACCACACAGAGATAAAATCTCCAATAACGGGGTTCCACAACATACATAAATATAACAATAATTTAGACTATGCCTATGGCGTGACAGATATTAGACATACTAATAAACAGATAAACAAATTAACAGATAAACAAATTAACAGGCCACAAATTGAAACAAACAACGATAAGGCAACGAAATGAGATCCTATTTGAAATTCTGAACTCGTGAATGAAGTACTAGAGTAATTTGAAGCTGTTAAGATTGTTTATGTATCGAGCAAGTTTTATGACTGCTTTCCCTATCGCGCACACCGTTCACAACCGCCAAAATGCTATACTCGTACTCTGGTACATGGAGTTGAACCATAAGATAAAGTAATATTCATTATAGCGTTATGGCAATTGCATTTGGCACACGCAATAAGGGATCACTATATAAGGTTCGATTGACCTAACAACATGGTCTAGATAATAAGTTCCATAAAGGACGACTTGTGTGACATTTCACACAAACTGACTTAAGAGTTCTCGGGTCATCGGGGTTGAAAACACTGTCCGTTAGATCTTTATAGTGCTTGCGTAGTAATGTTTTGAATGATCCTATAGACTTAGTTGTGTCTCTAATATAACGAGGAAGAGTGTTCCACACGCTTGCGGCTCTTGTATGAAAACGGTTCTGGTAGTTGACAGTTCTGCACTTTCTCACAGTTAGGAAAGTTCCATTACTTGCTCTTCTTGTTTCTCGTGTTGAAACGTTGACCGAGATATTACTGTCAGAGTCATTTATGAGACTTGTATAGATATAAATGATGTCTAAATATTCTTGCCAGTGACATAGAGGGATGATGCTAAGGATCTGCAATCTTTCTTTAAACGAGATATCTGTTTGGTATGGCAGAGATAGGATGAACTTGGTGGCACGGCGCTGAACACATTCGATGGTTAGAATGTTGCTGACCGTCTGGGGTGCCCACACTTGACAACCATACGCCAGTTGACTGCGAACCAAAGTCAGGTAGAGTGCCTTGCGGACCGATTGGTTACCAATCACGTACGTTGTTCGCTTCACGAAACCCAGCATCTTGTTGGCCTTCGACGAAATCTCCTGCACTTGCTTGTTCCATTTGAGGTCACCAGTTATAGATATACCCAGATCTTTCTGACTGTTAGGTCGGATAACTGGGGTAACAAGCACCATATACTGTGTGATGGTTGGTTCATGAGATCTTGTAAGATGTAGCACTCCACACTTGCTTTGATTTAACTCCATTTTCCAGTCGTGACACCAGTTGGTAATGTTGTCCATGTCGTATTGAAGGGTTACCTTATCTTAGGAAATTTT